ACTATTATGCACCAGCATTTTTGGGGAAATACGAAAGAAACGTATTCCCATTTTTTATCCTATGAAGCTTTACTTTATTTGTAAACTGTAAGCAGCATAGAAGAAAGAGCATGGGCTTCGGGATGTGTTAGATGTGGCATCAGCAACAAATTGTCTATCATTGGGTATAGTCTTGTGTCTCAGTTTCCTCTAATTACAGTGACGTAGTAAACCTATATCACACATTTTTTAAGGAATGTAGTGTTGAGCACTCAGTAAGTTACAAAAGAATTTTTATTCATTTTTTTGTGCCTTTGGGAGGGTGACAAGAAAGTATAAGAATCAGGGGCACCTGGATGGCTCAGTTGGTCCCACTCGGTTTTGGCTCAGGTCATGATCTCACTGTTTTTGAGCAAGCCCCACATTGGGCTCTATGTTGACAGTGCAGAGCCTGCTTGGAATTTTCTCTCTCTCCCCCTCTCTGTCCCTCCCCTGTTCATGCTCTCTAACCCTCTCAAAAAAAAAAAAAAAAAAAAAACACTTAACAAAAAAGAAAACATAAGAAATTAATCAAGAAGGTAGATGAGGATTTGTGAAAAGGAACTCTTACTATCTCTGTCAGTTATTGCATTTCTTTTAAAGTGGATTTTCAGGTTGGGACAAAGGACTTTCAGGAGTCTCTGTTTACTTGAACTGGCCAGAAATAAGGAGGAGATGGATTTCAATGGAAGTACTTTCTTGTAGCATGTTTTTTTTTTTTTTATGCCATATTTTCCATCTTCCTCTGTAAATGGCAGATTCAATCCAATCTAATTTTGAGGTTTATGAAATTCTACTAAACTATCATTGCTGTAATTTATTTTCAGATTAACTGTAAAAGTATTTTCCATTTTCAGTAAAGATCAAAGAATCGGAACACATTATTCTTAGTCTACTAAATGGAACTTTTTAACTTTTAGAAGATTATGAGGTTCTGTAGTAAATGCATCCTTTATTATAAACTCTATTTATGTTAAGAATGGTAAATGATTATCAAGAGAGAATGGCAAGATATATTTTTAAGTTCTTATTTAAATTCCAGTTAGTTAACATACAGTGTACACCCAGGTGGCCCCTTAAATCCCCACCACCTATTTAACCCATCCCCTTACCTACGTCCCCTCTGCTGACCACCAGTTTGTTCTCTGTAGTTAAGAGTCTATTTCTTGGTTGGCCTTTTTCCTTCTCTCATTTTTTTTCTCCCTTTGGTCATTTGTTTTGTCTAGTTAAATTCCACATGGCAGCATTGTTTTAAACCTTCTATCCAGAGCCTCTAATAAGTAATAGACACTAAAAAAACCCTCTCTTGACCCTAGGATGCTTATAAGACTAATTAGAAAGAGAAAATATTAGTAAATGGCAAGATAAAAGATAAAAAGAATTCCAGCTGGAGCACCTGTATGTTTCAGTCGGTTAAGCATCAGATTTCGGCTTAGGTCATGATCGCGTAGTTCATGGGTTCAAGTCCTGCGTCGGGCTCTGTGGTGACAGCTCAGAGCCTGGAGCCTGCTCCAGATTCTGTGTCTCCCTCCCTCTCTCTCTATCTGCCCCTCCCCTGCTTGTGCTCTGCCTCTCTCTCCCTCAAAAGTAAAAACACATTAAAATTTTTTTTAATTAAAAACAGAATTTCAGCAGAATTGCAGATAATTTGGATATTAAGGAGAGGAGGTGGGCAAGGTAAAAAAAAAAACGAGTCAAGGGGAAGAATTCTCTTAATAACTTATATTTATGAAGGTAATTTTGATAATTAAAATGGATGTCAAAGCCAGAACTATACTTAGAGATAAGAATTACATATATTGTATATACCCTATTCCTGTTATTCACTGTAAGAAGTATTAAAAAAAATAAATAGAATACTGCCTTCTTAACAAATGGCTTCACAGGGTTGGTTTGGTTTTTTCTTTTATATTATTGAAAACCTCCTTAGGAGGCTATAGGTATTACCAAGCAAATGCATTTGTCATTCTTGGATATATTCTTTTAAAACTATTTGTTGAGATCCTATTATATGTCAGGCCCCTTCTAGGCACATGTTTATATTATTTTCCTTACATGTAGTGAAGAAGTGTCTTTTTTCAAGCTGGCAAAAGGAAATCAAATTATTCATTTCAACTTTATGTTTATAATATGCCACATTGTCATCAGATTTTAAATTTAGCTTAAGATTTTATTGAGTCATTCAGAAAGTCCATCAAATAGATGATGTAGAAGTGAATCTTATATACCTGGTTTAGGCCTTTGTTTTTTCTTAATATTTATTTTATTTTTGAGAGAGAGAGCGTGCAAACATGCACGGGGGAGAGGCAGAGAGACTGAGGGACAGAGGATTCGAAGTGGGCTCTATACGGACAGCAGCGAGCCCAATGTGGGGCTTGAACTCATGAGCTGTGAGATCATGAAATCATGACCTGAGCTGAAGTCAGATATTCAACCGACCAGGCACGCCGGTTTAGGCCTTTATAATAAAGGCATGGCTTTGCTGCCAGTTGTAATTAGGTTTGAAAACAAGCACCCAGTCTATATCTCTAAACCAAAACTTTCACCAAGATGTCAAAATTGTGTACTTACCAGCCTTCCTACACTTCTATTAACCAACATTATTAGGATTTACAAAGTACCTATTAGTTCTAAAAACATATCTAAATAGGAGATGAGTTAATTTACAGAATATCACAGAAAGTCATACCAAATCTGGAATCAGGTTCCTTTTAAGATTTATAGGATTTAGGGACACGTGGGTGGCTTAGTTGGTTGAGTGTCATAAGCTCAGGTTGTGATCTCATGGTTTTTGAGTTCAAGCCCCACGTCGGGCTCTGTGCTCAGGCTCAGAGCCTGGAGCCTGCTTCAGATTCTGTCTCCCTTTCTGTCTGCCCCTCCCCAACTCGTGCTCTGTCTCTCAGTCTCTCAAAAATAAATAAATGTTTAAAATTTTTAAAAATTTTATTTTTATTTAAAAATTTAAAAAAATTAAAAATTTCAAAAAAAAAAAAAAAAAAAAGATGTATAGGATTTAATCATACCAGTAAGTGGAAGTTACCTGGAATGCCAGCCCCAGTGCTCAGCTACCTTCTCCTGCCAGTGCCAGAAAGATACTTGAAAAGGTGTTTATGATTTACACAGTTTCAGACTGGTTTCTAAAGAGTCCTCGGGTTCTGTGTGGCGAGGCACACTTTCATACTGAGATACACTGAGTTTACTTTGCTGTGCAAATGCCACCGAAGTCGAGGTGGTCACAGCCTCTATGTGGAGAAGTAGCGTCTAAAGGTTGCTGAGGCACTTTGTTCACCCTAGTGAATGTTCCTCAGATTCCTTAATGGGAATCGTACCTACTTCTGGGTCCCCGAATTTAAAACAAGTGTGGAGAGGAGCCTGGGTGGCCCAGTCAGTTAAGTCTTCTACTCATGATATCAGCTCAACTCATGATCTCGTGATTGGTGGGACTGAGCCCCGAGTGGGGCTCTGCACTGACGGGGGGAGCCTACTTAAGATTCCCTCTCTTTCTGCTACTCCTTCTCTCTCCTTCTCTCTCCCCACCTCCAGTATAAAAAAATAAACATTTTTTTAAAAAGTGTGGAGGACTAGGAGAGAAGTCTGAATGTATAGGTGCCAAGACAAGTGCAGAGAATGAGACCTATGAGGAAGCCAGTTCTTTTACTTGAAAAGGAGGAGTCAGAATGACAATTTAATAATCTTTCAGACATTAGGAATTATTACATTGAAGTTAATGACCAGAGTTTCTTCACGTGCAAACAGTAAAAGAAAGAGACTTTCAGCTTAGCAAGAAGAATATAGTAAAGATCCAAAAAAAAAAAAGCAGCAATCAGATGCTTAGCCTATTTAATCAAAGGAATAGATCACTCCACACACTTTATGAAAGTGTTTTCATAGGCAGTATGAATTCCTGTCTGTTTAGTGTATTCAATATAATACTACCTGAAAGAACAGGTGCAAATTAAATGAACTTTGTTTTTTGACCCTGTGACTCAGTGATTTATCTTTAAATTATATCATAAGGTATAGATTTCAAGCAATTATTTTGAATTAGAGTTTCATAGCCCAGTGCTGCCAGGAGAGAAGCTACTCTCTAATGATGTTAAGGGAGCTAGTCGTGTGGAGCCACATTTATTCCGGGAGTCATGAACTCACATACCTACAGGGGTCTGCTAGTACCACGGAGTGAAGCTAACAGCATGGAAGAGCACAGAGAAGTAAAAGATGTAGTGTATTTGAAGGTGTGGGACCCAACCAAAGGAGGCAGCCACTGCTGACCGGCCAGTTGTTTTCATGTTGCAACATGCCTGTTTTGCTAGATTTTTGGCTTTCTCCAGGAAAACTAGAAATCTAGAATCTCATGTCACTCTTTTATTTAGCATTGACAGAATACTAAGATTCATCAAAATACCATGCAGGCAAAGCAGTACACGTCTGTGGGCTGTACGTTAGAAACCTCTGGCTTTCCTTTCGGTCACTTGCCAACCAACACATTGGTTAGCAAACAAAACAGAGCTGATTGAACTCTAAACCTTAGGAGAATTCATCTAAATCTCTGTAAGGCTTAATTAAGGTCCTTTCCAGTTCTGTGATTCTTTTGATCCTCCCTTCCTTCTTCCCTTTCTCTGTAATGGGTGACTTATCCACATAGTGGTGGGAATTTAAAGGACCTACTTATTTCCTTAGCAATAGAATTTTATTTCGTAAAACTGTCAGATGTTTAGACTGGAAACTTTTGTTGCTATACTAAAGATGCTACTGATGCTATTACATTTTTAGGAGTGCACTTACGTATGGCATAGACATGTCACTTTGGATCTTTGAACTAACATTTGTTTCTAACATTGGCTGCATGAGGCATGCTTGACTTAAAAGCCCATTTACACTTCACCATTTGGTGACATATTTTATTCCCCTGTTATAAAATATTTTCAAATAACCCACCTGGAGTAATGACGCCTGGATTTCTGAAATCCCCTTCCTTTCAGACAGGAGAATATGCCACAGATGAAGAGGAGGATGAGGTAGGACCTGTTCTGCCTGGCAGCGACATGGCCATTGAAGTCTTTGAGCTGCCTGAGAATGAGGACATGTTTTCCCCATCAGACCTGGACACAAGCAAGCTCAGTCACAAGTTCAAAGAGGTAAGCTGCTGATCTGCAAACCATTTTTTATACATGTCCATTTCATTATTAAGTTTACATTTTGTTTCAAAAATGTGTTGAGAATCCGTTTTCAAAAGAAAACTTTTTGATAACACATTGTCTTCAATCTCATTGAATTTCAAGGTAAAATTTAAGTAGATCTCATTCCACAGTCCTTAATTTTTAAATGCTTATTATTTGCCGTAGCGATAGCTTACAGCTTGTCTGTTCCATATTTTCAAGCTGCAGCTTAAATGTCTGGTTTTCATAAGTACAGGTTATAATTTTTCAGTTTTATAGAATTTGGGGGACGTGATGATAAGCTTTCCCCTAAGGAAGTGATTTCTAAGAAAGTTTTTTTTCTTTTATTAAAATAGACAAGGTCCCAAAAGGAATCAGACAACATACCTAAGGAGTTTAACTGAAGAAATTAAAGTTTAATGAATGGACCTTGAACAGAATTAATCGAACTATCCAGGGACAGTGAAGTGCACAGGGACTGGTAACAGTAGGAACTTGTTCTAACTTCCTCCCAAAAGAAGGCTTTAATGGGTAAAGAGGAAAAGAGATCCTCCTCCCCTTCCCCTCCACCCCACCCCCCACCCCCCACCAAGGCCACCTCTATAAGATGCAGCTACTGCTAAAAATTACGTCCTGGGGTTAAGGGTGGATGATATACACTCAGCCCCTTCTCTCCTCCTGCCGTTGCCTCCTATTGGCCAAACCCAGGCAGGAATCTGGAGGTCAGCCTCCTGAGGCCGGAGCTCTCGGAAAAGGGCCAAAAATGGACCCTGAAAGGGCAAATGCAGATAAGCACGTAAATTCTTCTTCCAAATTAACTACTCGGAACTCCAGCACGTAAAACAGAGACAGTGATGAATGGGTCCCCAAGCAGTTTATTCGTCGTTATTTTAGGGAACGTCCTCCATTATTGAAGGCAGGTATGTCATTATTTACAGCTTCCCCACAGTAACGGGAAGCACTGAGGCTTGAAAACCACTGTGGCGTGGTTTCGAGCCTGTTAGGGACTTGACCAATTTGGCAGAAACAGTTCTCCTGAACATGAAAAACAATGTTGATAATTGCAGGTTTATAATTTCTAATTTTATTTCTAATTTCTAATTTTCTTTCATTTATAACTTCTAATTTTTTCAAATATAATTTCTGACGTGTCAGCTAGATAGGTCTCTTTTTTATGTTCTGATGTTATACCTACCGTGTCTAATATATTGACTTACCTTTTTAATTCCTTATGATAAATGCATACTTGTGAGGTCAGTAACAAAGTGAATGTACTTTCAAAATGTAAATTTTGGGGGCACCTGGGTGGCTCATTGGGTTAAGCATCAGACTTTGACTCCGGTCATAATCTCGTGGTTGCCCCATGTCGGGCTCTGTGCTGACAGCTCAGAGCCCGGAGCCTGCTTCAGATTCTGTGTCTCCCTCTCTCTCTGCCCCTCCCCCACTTGGGCTCTGTCCGTCTCTCAAAAATAAAAAAGTTAAATATTAAAAAAAATTTTAAATAAAAATAAAATGTATATTTTTGTTTTTAAAAAAAAGCCCTTAAAGGCAAACCATGAGAGACTCTTGAATGCTGACAAAAACTGAGGACTGATGGATGTAGGGGGGCGGGGGGGATGGGCATGGAGGAGGGAACTCGTGGGGATGAGCACTGGGTGTTATGTGGAAACTAATTTGACAATAAACTGTTTGTAAAAAAAATAAAAAATAAAAAAGCCCCTAAGTCTATTACAGAATTTTAGAAAATGCATATTTGTATAAATACCAAAAAAATCATTCATGATCCCAGATTTGTGGTATTTATGATTATACAGTATATACTGTATTAAATTCCTATTCTTGATACTTATAATTGCATTATTAGGATTTTCCCATGTCGTCAAATATTCATCCATAAATGATGTTTATTCACTACATGGATCTCTTATTGATCTACTTAATTTTTGTCTTGTAACATTTCCTTTGCTTGGGGTTTAAAAATATTATTATTAAAAGTTACACTGCAGTAAGTATTTGTGTACTTTTCCTTAGGATAATTTCTCACAGTGGAATTATTCGATCAAAGAATATCAGTATTTTGGGGACTTGTGGTACTTAATACCAAGTTGCCACCAGAATGGCTTTTCTCAGTGACACAGAAATTTATTTATGCCAGCCAGGATGTTGAGAGTGCACATTTCTCTTCCACCTATTATTATTTGTCAGGTTGAACCATTTCCATTTGTATAGTACACAGAGTCCTTGAGGCAAAATATATGGGTTTTCCAGATGATTTATGACTATTCCTAGTTCTAAATCAGATATAAACATCTTGGTGACAAATGAAGTACACTATTCTATAATGATCACAAAACTCCTTTACAGTAGGAATAGCAATGCCTATCTTAGGGCCAATTCTTATAAAGGCCTTCTAAATTAACTGATATCTTCAAACCAAAGAGCAATGCAGAAAAATAAAATTCTTCTGGAAGTGGCTGCATGGGAGGAAGAGATAATCTAGGGACCTGTTTCTCTGCAGTTCCGATTTGGCCCGAGAATACAGATTACCTAGAAGTGTAGAAGGACCACTTGTTCTTTAAAAAAAAAAATCTTCTTGAATGTTATAACTCTCAATCCAGCTTTGAGGCAGTGAAATCAAGGTAGTATATCTGGGCAAAAGCCTATAATATAGTTTACCCGTGTTGCCAGTTGAGTACAGCCCTACTCTTTGGTAGCTAATTGAGCTGGAAGTTGGGTCCACATTCTTTAATGGAAGCTGAAGAGTATAAAAAACAGAAAGAGTATATGGAAGTCAAGGAGTCAATGCTCTGTAAATATTGTTTGAGTTGTGTACACCATTGTGCAGACATCGGCATGATCTAGACCTAGCGGTTGGCGAACTATGACCTATTGGCCAAATCTAGCCCACTGCCTTGTGTTGTAAATTAAGTTTTATTCAACACTGCCATGGACATCTATTTATTTATTGTTTGTGGCTGCTTTCATTGCTGTAATAGCCAAGCTAAGTAATTGCACAGAGACCATGTGGCCTGCAAATCCTAAATTATTTGCTATCTGACTTTTTACAGAAAATGATTGCTGCCTTTGGTGTAGTCCGCTGCATAATCTGGACCCATTCTGTGTAACACAGCTGATTTATTTTTAGCCTGAGTAACCAAATCTGTAGTTTTCTTTTAATTTTGGTTCTTAAGAATTGGAGGTTTGTCCTTACCTCAAGATTAAGCAAATACCGCATTGTTTCACTTTTCATTCTCATATTTTTTGTCATATATTTAACAGATTCATATATTCATTTCTTTAGGAGATGGCCACTGGATATCAGCCATGTGGCATTCCATTTCAGCCTTAGTATCTTGTACACTGTCACTATCGTAGTTTTAAATTTCTTTGTGTGATTAACATAAATGCCCAAACATTCAAGGCACTAGGTATTTTTCACAAGATTACGTACAAATGGGGTGGAGGTGGAGAGTCATGTGTATTGGAGTCTGTATGAAGTCTTCTATTACAGAGAGTTCTCTCAGTTGCATTAAATCAAAGAGAAGCACATGATGTCCTCTTTGAGCAAAATGTATTTGACTGACATTATCTCAATCAGTCCTACTTTTGGCCAATTTCTTATCTTCCTACCAGCCTCTACGCTCCTCTGTTTCTGCTAACTCTTGTAGGTTTTCACATATTTCTTCACATATAGTAAGTGGTTAAATATTTGGTGAATCAATGGTATAAAGCATATACTGGAAGTTGTTGTATAATTCAAGACAGGTACCTAATTTAATTTCTCCAAGTAGTTGACAAGATAGCTGGCACTTTTATTAAACACTCATTTACGCATTTCCCTCTGCTTGGAAGGCCAGCATTATTATCTACAGAATTGGTGCCTTTACACTCTCAACTGCTTTTGGCTTTATAATCCATTCTGTTTTCTCATTCTTTGGTATAATGCTGTTAGAATATAGATTGAATATTGATGGAGTAAATCAGATTCATCTAACTCTTCAAAATTCCGGTAGTGTTCAGCCTATTCAAGAAAACATTTGAATCACTTTATTAATTCCCTTGGGAAAACTTCTTTGCATTTTTATTGTAATTACATTAAACTACTAAATTAACTTGCAGAGAGCTGGCATTTTTATCACAATGACTCTTTTAATCCAAGTTTATGTAATGTATCTGTTTAATTCAAGTCTTTTTTTTCCTGACCCTCTCTAACATTTTATCGGCCCCTCTGTTAGTTACACAAGCTATAAGTAACAGAAGATCTTAACTAGAGTGGATTAATCAAAAGCTGCCACAAAGGTTCTCTCTTAGTTTCAATATAAGTTAAGAAGTTTTCTCATTTTTTCTATTTTCAGAAATGACTTTTATAAGAGAGACTTAATGACTTGCATAAAACAGAAATTTCTGTTCCCTGGAAGTTTCTTATTATTCAGCTATAAAACCATCTGTGCCTTTGTGGAGGAAGATTTTAAAAACCTTTTATAATAGCCATTACTCTCTTCAAGTTTTCAAGTTTTTCTTGGGCTAGTTTTGGAATTTTGCATTTCTCAAGAATTTTATATATTTCCACTAGGCATTCGTATTTTCTAAACTTTTTATCATATACTTTTGAAGTACTGAAATCTTTACCATCTATAACTACTTATTCCTGTTTTATTCTTTTTATTTGAATACTTTTTCTTAGTTGTTTTATGTAGAATTTTTGTCTGTCTTGTTAGCCTTTACATTCCCAATTTTTTAATTAAAAATACTTATTTTGTTATTTCCTACTAATATCTTCTTTTTGCCCTTCTTTCTTGTTTTGATATTGATCAGTTGCAGTTAGTACATCTATTTTTGATAACTCTTGCATTCTGATAAATATATTTAAAGCTATACTTTTTCTAAATATTCATTTTTTACTTACATGTTCCAGTGTTTTTACATTTAGAATGCCATTGTCATTTAGATGTGATTTCTCTTTAACACTTTAATATTAA